CAGACAGAGATCACAAGTAGACAGAGAGGCAGGCAGAGAGAGAAGGGGGAAGCAGGCTCCCTGCTGAGCAGAGAGCCCGATGTGAGGCTTGATCCCAGGACCTTGGGATCATGACCAGAGCCAAAGGTAAAGGCTTAACCCACTGAACCACCCAGGTGCCCCCTTTCTTTCTTTCTTTCTTTCTTTCTTTGTTCTTTCTCTCTTTCATTTAATCAATATATATTCAAGGGTTATTTATTTTACACTTTGGTTTATAATCCAATACAGTTTTACTTTCTTGCCCAACTTATTTTTCAGCTTTGTCAACTGGGAGCCCTTTTAGTTGTCTCCTGAGTTCCTTTGACATCCATCCATCCATCCATCCACCCATCCATCCATCCACCCATCCATCCATCCACCCATCCATCCATCCATCCATCCATCCATCCATCCATCCATCTACCCATCCACCCATCCTTCCATCCACCCACCCTTCCATCCACCCACCCATCCTTCCATCCACCCATCCATCCATTCAACCTCATCCTCTTCATTCTCATCATCAGTATTTTGGTTTGGATTTTAGCACTTATTTACTTTCTTACTTTCTTGAACTTCATGGTGTTTTAGGCTTATCTTATATAATTATCACTCTAGTTCTAGAATTAACTATTTCTCCAAGGAGTCCTGGTTCCTTTTATTGAGGTGTCAGAAACCAAGAGGAGTGTTACTTCTAGGTTGCCTTTGCTTCTAGGCCCTCTCAGCTGATACAGGGAGGACAAATAAATGTGGATACACTAATTTATACACTAAAACACACATATATATATACACATATATATTGCACAAATATACATGAGTAGTATCTTAGTGTACGTACTAATAGTATACTAATCTATGTATTAGAATATTAGTATGTTAGTGTGTTAGGGTGTGTGTGTTTATAGTGTACTTATACACACACACACATACACACACACACACACACACACACTTAGGTCTGCTCCTTTGCCCCCTACTACCCTCAGTAAGTTTCAAAGTATGTATACAGTATAGTTGTATTATTTTGTCAAAGGTTTTGCATTTTATCCTGGGAAACGTGGACATCCAAATATTTTTTTAAAGATTTTATTTACTTATTTGACAGACAGAGATCACAAGTAGGCAGAGAGGCAGGCAGAGAGAGAGGAGGAAGCAGGCTCCCTGCCGAGCAGAGAGCCTTATGCGGGGCTCAATCCCAGGACCCTGAGATCATGACCTAAGCCGAAGGCAGAGGCTTTAACCCACTGAGCCACCCAGGCACCCCGCAGACATCCTAATTTAAAAAAAAAATTGCATATATTGAGATTTACTTACTGTGCTATGAAGTTTAATGATTTTAACAAGTACATTGTGCCATGGGTCCATTATTACAGTATCATACAGAATAGCTTTAGTACCTTAAAAATATCCGTGGAGTTTTATCTATTAAACTTCTTCATTTCCTTAAGTCCCAGCAGTCACCGATCTGTTCATTGACTCTATAATTTCGTCTTTCCTAAAATAACATATAAAGGAATAATATGGTTTGTAGACCTTTCCTTTAGTAATGTGCATTTAAGATTCATCCACGTTTTTGCATGGCTTAAGAGTCCATTCCTTTTCATCACGAGGTAGGCTTTTCTCGTATGGATTGCCATAGTTTTTGTACCCATTTACTTATTGAAGGATATTTTGATTTTTTCCATTTCTGCGTGATTACAAATAAAGCTGTTATAAGTATTCAGATACAGGTTTTTGTTTAGAAGTAAGTTTTCAATTCAGTTGGATAAATATCTAGGAGTGTGACTGCTTGCTCATATGGTAAGCTCATATTTAATTTTGAAAGAAATTTTAATTGGTTTTGCCAAAATACCACAAAGCCCTATCTATAATCTATAAAACACTATAAAGATATTCCTCTTTGGTCATCAGACAAAACAATGGTAGACAAGCTAGAACAGAAAGCAATCAGTTAATATACAGATGAGCTTAAAGACTTGAATGAGTTCCAGGGATCACATTATAAGCAGGAACTATCTTAAAACGCTGTCAGACCTTTAGGAAATGCTACCTAAGAGGATTTCTTATCTTTCCCTTCATCTGTTCAAAATGAGCCCCCCTGATTCTGTTCTTCAGCACTGTGTTCATGGGCACTGTTCCCCCTCTTGCCACTAACAGCATTACTCTGCCTATTCCTGCTTTTGAAAACTTGTGCGGAAAAGGGAATGAGTACAGAAATGAGTATCTTATCGTCAGTAACCCCCTCTAGAGACCATACCTCTGTCAAGGTGGCAGTGAACACCCTGAGTGTATGCCTAACTCATGTTTTATTTATTCTCAACTAACTGTCCATCTCCCCAGTGACAGTATGGATAATTAGCAGTCAGTTTATATAAGGTTGCTTCCATTCTGGAACATAGGTAGACGTTTAATCAGATCTAATTCAATTAGTCTCAACCCCAGGTATTTGCCATGAAGACGGAGAAGGTGTGGAAGTACTATCTTTCCCAGTAACTCAACATAGAGATAGGTGAAACCATTAGGCAGATGTCATCTTTTCATGGTATATTTAGAGAAATGGAAAAGCTACACTTCACAGTGCAGGGAAGTACATGAAACCGGTAACAAAGCAAGAGACTGTGAAACTTCTTATTGGATTCCTTAGTCTCTAGTTGTAGAAACATACTGAGCCTTCGACAGTTACCGTCTCTGGCCTCCATGATACTCCATCCATCCATCCATGACACCCCCAAAATGGGAGGGACATAATAATGTTTCTTAAAATCAAATGTCTATTAAGAAGTAGAAAATTGTCCTTTGCATGCTGTCGGTGCCTGTGAAAAGAAGTAATTGGAAGGATATAGAAGCATTTTTCGTCCTGGATATGTAAATAGTGCCAAGAGGTAATAAATATTTATGCCCACCCAAATGATATACTGTTTTTTTTTCATTATATAGACCTAGAGAATAGACCATCACTCTTGTGTCTTCCCCTTTGAAAGAACTTGGCTCTTCAGCAGAAGGCATGGTGTGAGTCATATGTAGGGCTTATCTTCATAATATAACAAAAGAGGAAATTTTATCTTTACCTGGCATCAACTGCTGTCCATGTAGAAATAATGAACTGAAATGTTATATTCTTGGGAACGTTTAAACCAAAATTGGGGATGGGATATCCCTTCTGCCAGGCTTTTAAAAGGATCGTGCATCTCCTTGTCCTTCCTCAGAACGAAAGAGAAATAGAGAGAAGGAATAGTTTCCGTTCAGTATGATAAAAGACTCTTGATGTCAAGCTCAATGTCACTTTTCCATCCATTTATATTCACAGATCCTATTAATGGATGTAAGATAACCTACAGTCTTCTGTGCTTTGTTCTTTTGAAAATTACTATTAAAGAAACGCAGGATGATCAAGACTGAAAACAAAGGACAAAATTCATTCCCGAGTATGTCTTTGTTGTCCTTTTTCTCACCTTGACAGAATCATCTGAATAATGTTAATCACCCCAGGATCCTTTTTTTTTTTCGTATTGTTATTCCTGTGTAATTATTAAGGCTGCTGATACCATTAGGTGACGATGAAATAATATTAAACAGTCCCCACACATTTATGTATATGTAATAAGTTACAATGTCAAAATTGAATGAAAGGAGAAGTGCCAGGATCCATCTTAGGAATCGTTCTTGCAGTGTCCGACTGCTCCAGGAAATGCTGTGCAGGTGCCCTGTGAGCGCCGTGTAGGGGGACCGCCCAGCAAGAAAGGTAAGACCCTGTGCTGTGAATCCAGCGTTGTCTCCCCTGCTTCATTCTGCACTAAGGGCATCGGTAAGTCAGAATTCTCATAAGCATGGACAATAGTTCTTGTTCCTATTAGGCCTTTCCACATTCTCACCTTCTCTTGTCCCTGGTACATATTTTTAAATTATGCATTAAGGTGTAATATCGCAGAGTAAACTGCATATGTCATAAGAGCACAATGCTCACAAGCTGAACAGATTCATGTCATTAGCACCCCCGTTAAAAAATTGAAATAATACTTGCCTTGCAGAATTCATACTTCGGCTTCTTTCTGTCACTGTGCCCATAAGAGCAACCAGTATCCTCACTTCTAAAATTATAGCATTTTGCCTCTTTTGTACTTTATATAGGTAGACTCATACACTTGGTTTTGTGTCTGGTTTCTTTCTTTCAATATGGGCTTAAAACCAGTTCTACCAAATTTATAAGCTACATGAATGAGCCAGTAAATATATTGATTTTTATATTCATTTATCCTGTTGATTCCTCTCCCCCTTCTCTTTTCTATTTTTATTCTGGTGTTAGAAAGTAACTTTACCATTAGATATGTTATTTTGGGTCTCCTTTTGTTATGTACCCAGCTCAAGGCAGCCAAGGGGGAATTTCCATATCAGGACCAGGGTTGGTTTAGTCTGCATCCCTAGGACACAGAAGAGGTCTCTAATGTGCCTGAAACAGATCTCACTTATTTCCAAAAGGAATTTATTTAGTAAAACTACCTTTATCCCAGGGGCACCTGGCTGGTTCATTTAGTGGAACATGTGACTCCTGATCTTGGAGTCGTGGCTTTGAGCCCCATGTTGGGTATGGAGATTACTTAAGAAAAATAAAAATAAAAATAAATAAATCTTCAAAACTACCTTTATCCCAAAGGGAGTGGGGGGAATGGACATTCTGCCCCCCCTTTTTTTAAATTCACCCCCGTTTCTCTATTTTCTCTAATGTTATCATCAGATACATTTAACAAACGTTTATCGAATGCCTTCGTTTATAGACTGTGAAGTCACAGCGATCAAACTGTGAGTGCAGATATTAAGACCAAGTGGTAAGAGTTCACTCTCTGGAGTCAGCAGGCCGGGTTGCAAATCGCTGGTAGTTTTTTTTTTTTTGTTTTTTTTTTTTTTTTGTTTTTTTTAATGAAACCAAACATTTATTTTAAACTATTATGAAATTACCATTCAAATACATTTTTAATTTATTTTTTAATATCAAATTCATCTCTTTGACCTTGTTTCATTGTATATAAGGAGACTTGGCTGTAATGAGTGTCATCCACAAAAAAGGGGAGGCAACAGTGAAAAGAAGTTGTCTCATTTTCAGACAGGCCTTGTTTTTGTTGGATGGTTTTGCTTAAAATCCAGTAGCCAAATGAGGAAACTCCCAGAAAGCCTGGTCATCAAAATGTTTGGCCGCAGGAGGTGCCTTAAATATTTTGAGGCTTAAGACCAAACCTGTCAAAACCCCAGCTATCAGACCTGAAGCCATGGCCAAGCTGAGTGTCCCAGCGCCAAAGAACAACTGGATGTCGATCCTAGAAATGGACTTCGTGGTCCAGTTGACCTCATAGATGATCAGCAGAATGTAGGTGATCCCGCCGAGCAGACCTGGCAGGCCAAAGGTGTAGTGCACGCCACAGGTGTCGTGGGTCCCCAGCACCTGGTTAAAATATCCCGGCAGGCACAGGGCTCCCCCGATGGAGATCAGTCCAGCCATAAAGCCCAGCACCATGGCAAGCCAAGGCGAAGCGATCAGATGACATGAGGCGCCCACAGCCACGCCTCCAGCCAGTACCGCATTGTGGATATGAGTCATGTTGATCTTCCTTTGGGAGTGAGCCAAGACTGACACAGAGATGGCTGTCACCGTGCTGGCCGCGAGAGCATAGTAGGTGCTGAACACGGCATTCTTCCTTTCTATTGGAGAATCCAACAGAGCAGAGTTGAAACTCGGCCAGAATATCCACAAGAAGAGGGTTCCCAGCATGGTAAACAAACTGGACCTCTTTTCTGTCTGAGTCACCTTTAGTCCTTTGAAATTCGCCTGTATCAAATATTATATTCACCTACAAGGAACATGTCATGTTAGAGAAAAGTATTATAATTTTATTTATTGATATAAATTATCATTTTTAAAAAGGAAACTTCCTTGGGGCGCTTGGGTGGCTCCGTTGGTTAAGTGATTGCCTTCGGCTCAGGTCACGATCCTGGAGTCCCAGAATCGAGTCCCGCATCAGCCTCCCTGCTCAGCAGGGAGTCTGCTTCTACCTCTGACCCTCTCCCCTCTCATGCTCTCTCTGTCACTCTCTCTCTAAGTAAATAAACAAAATCTTAAAAAAAAAAATAAGGAAACATTCTTGCCACTATATCACGTGACATAAATAAGAGATAAATGCTAGATAAATATAATACTAGATAGATATAATGAAACAGATACCTAATATTTGGTAGCTACAACATGAGCTATGTATAAATATATTAAAGTCAGTAGCTTTTGTATAGACATTGTTGCTTGCCGAAGGCTTTTATTTATTTTTTTTTTAAGATTTTTATTTATTTATTTGACAGACAGATCACAAGTAGGCAGAGGGGCAGGCAGAGAGAGAGAGAGAGAGAGAGAGAGGAGGAAGCAGGCTCCCCACTGAGCAGAGAGCCTGATGCAGGGCTCAATCCCAGGACCCTGAGATCATGACCCGAGCCGAAGGCAGAGGCTTTAACCCACTGAGCCACCCAGGTGCCCCTGAAGGCTTTTATTTCTAAGCCTTCTTGTTCCTTGGTATATAGAGGCATATTTGCAAATATCAGAAAGCTGTCAAATGCATACTAGCATAAAACTGAGATAATGCCGTCAGCATAAAAGGAGAATGCAAGAATGTACATCTGTCACTGTGGATTTGAAATTAATTAATGCTGATTCCTTGCATACCTAGAGTGCCCTGCTGGAATGCTCCTCATATTTTGGAGAGCAACGTGTCATGCAAAAATGCATGTGCACGTTTTGATATATGCCAAGCCAAGAACATATACGATAAATGTTCTCTCTTAACCATGCCTGCCTTCAAGGGGCACATAATTTGGCAGGGAAGGTAACCTGCTTTCTCTGAAGCCTTGCCAAAGATGTGTGGAAGGAGTTTCATAGCAGAAACCATGGAGGAGGAGGACCCAGAGATGCCAGGAGAGATCAGCAGGAATTTTTTGTTTGCCTGAGATTTGCATGGCAGGGTATCCACTGAAATTTCATGTTGGCTTGTGATTCAGAGGAGCTGCAGCCATTTCTTAAGATCTTTGGACCTGATGAGAAATAGGCACATGATATCATCTGCTCAGAAGTCAAGTCATGTGAGTAGGTTAGAGTCTGTGCTGGTAGGACTTGTGGGTTCTGCTGAAATATCCATTCCTTTAAAATGGAAAACATTTTAGCATCACGTCTGCATTTGTAGGCCTAAAAAATCCAGTGTCTACAAGCCATTAATATTGCACTCAGTGAGCAAGCCCACAGATGAATTTAAAAGTATGTGATTGTGTTAAATATTTGGTGGGATCTTTTACCTTATAACCATCAAGTAAAACACACCCGATCAGAAGATATTTCAAGATGTCATGATAAAAGTGAGTTATTGCTGTGCTGTCTGCAATGGTGAAAAAGGTCGTTTTGAAGCTTCCTTATCCCCCACCTCAGAGACAAGAGTCATGTTAGATTTTGAAGGGACGTCCTCGTTCTAACACATTAGACTTGGCGCTTTGCTTTGAACAGAAAAGATATTCCTGATTAACTTTAAGATTTGCCTGATTCTTTAGATGTATCCGTAGCTCTTTAAGGTCTATAGAACTTCTGATACCATAGAAGCCAATTTGAGCAGGGTGGGGACTGCTTAGATATGTGGGATTCAAGGTTAGGCTTAGGTGTGCATAAAGAATATAAAAATGTGCTTCCCTGTGTCTGATGGAATGCTTCCTTGAAATGTTCAAAGGTAAATGCTCAGGCTTTGAAGCCAGACGGTGTTTGAATTGTGGATCTTCTCCTAACCACGAGATGACCATGGGAAGGGAATTTACCTCTCTGAATCTGGATTCTTTTTCTTTAAAATGGGATTTAAGAAGGAAAATCATATGAATGGATAAAATAGTCTGATTGGCATGTAGCAAGTGTCAGTTGGCCCAAGCTCTGAGGCATAATTCCATGTTATGAAAGTCACCCTGATTGGCCTTCTAAGTCAACATTCTCCTGAATTCTCTGAGATCAGTGCACCTAAAGTTGAGTCTTCTTCCATATTTATGGTTTAGGTTATATTTTCAGAATTAACCTAGTTTATCTGTTTTTTTTTATTTTTTTAAAAGATTTTATTTATTTATTTGACAAACAGAGATCACAAGTAGGCAGAGAGGCAGGCATAGAGAGAGGAGGGAAGCAGGCTCCCTGCTGAGCAGAGAGCCCGATGCGGGGCTTAATCCCAGGACCCTGGGATCATGACCTGAGCCGAAGGCAGAGGCTTAACCCACTGAACCACCCAGGTGCCCCTTCACTCCTGATTTTGATACGAGTATTATTCATCCCCTCTCCCTGCTTCTTAGACTACTCATATTTTTTAAAATATTTTATTTATTTATTTGAGAGAGAGAGATTGAGATCACAAGTAGGCAGAGAGGCAGGCAGAGAAAGGGGGAAGCAGGCTCCCTGCTGAGCAGAGAGCCCAGTGTGGGGCTCAATCCCAGGACCCTGAGATCATGACCTGAGCCGAAGGCAGAGGCCTAGCCCACTGAGCCACCCAGGCGCCCCTAGTTTATCTGTTTAAATAATCAATTATTCTCTTACCTTTTTTTGCAGGCCATATCTTTACCCTTTGTTTCTGTGATGCTACCTACCCATAAAAGAATTTTTGACATCTAATTTCTAACTTTTCTTCTAGGCCTATAACTGAAACTGCCCACGTGACGTGCATATGTGGGGCCAAGGGGCATTTTTTAATAATCAGCACATTCAAAACTAACTTAATGGGCTTTTAACAGTGGTAACTTATTTTCTCATATATACTGTGAGTCAGGATCCATGCGGGAGATCCAAAGGTCCTCTGCTTTTAGAATCTTATACAGTTGCATTCGACGTTTCAGCCAGGGCTGAGATCTCATCTGAGGCCCGACTGGGCAAGAATGCCGATTCCAAGGTCTCATGGTTATTGGCAGTGTTCAGATCCTTGAGGGTCTCAGTTTCTTTCCTATCTGGTGACCATCCTCCTCCCCTCGCTGCATGGCCTTCCCATATGGCAGTTCAGAGCATGGCAACTTCCTTCTTCATAGTCAGCAAGAGAGTCTCTGGCATAACAGTGGTTATAGTCTCTTGTAACATAATCTTCCCCTGCCCCCATCTCCTTTGCTGTATTTTATTGGTGAGAAGGAAATCACAGGTGCTATTTGTTATTGATCTCCTCCTCTGTGGTTCTACAGTAGAAGAATTATTATTTCTAAAACAGGGCTTTGAGCATAGCAGTCCCTTACCACATACCCTTGTGTGCCCTCCCACTGCTCTTAGAAATAAATGTGGGTAGATTTTAACCATTTTTACAGTGAAGAAGGGTCACCTTCTACTTTTCCGCTATTGCATCTTCTCTCACCATCTTAGTCCAAGGAACTATTATATATCACTCAGACTTCTGTCTGGCTTCCATACTGCTTGCTTGTCTGCATTCACTATTCTGTGACTTCGAATGCATTCTCTGATTGTGACATGTTCCTGCTTACTAAGCTTCAGTGTTTCTCCATTGCACTGTAGAGCTAGTTCAGAGTTTATAACATGGCTGATAATGCTCTGCACAATTTAACTCTGCCAACATCCCCGTGTTTTTGAGTTGTTGACTCTGCCTTATAGGCTAGTTATTGTCCCTTGTGTGTGATGGCCTCAGAGTCTCCACACACAACCTTGATTTTGCCTAGGAGGGTCCGTCTTTCAGGTCTCACATAGTCCTCACTTCCTCCAAGCGTGTTAAAGACTTCCTACCATTCTGTCTTTTCTTTCATTCAATTATAATTTATTAATTACTTGTGTAGTTATCTGTGTTAATCATAAGATGGAGCCTTTGTTTCTAAGTTCACTGTTGTCTTCCTGCGCCTAGCAAGACTCAAACACAAGTATCTCAGAAAATATGTATTAAGCCAAAAAAGGAAGATAGGACCAAAATGATGAGCAGTGTTCTCTCTGAATATTTCAATTGCAATTAGGGAAACAGACCAAAGACCTTCCTGCACGGAGGTCAAGGGTGACAGAGAGATGTGTTGTCATGGTCTGTGGAGCTAAGAGGTATAGTGGACGAGCCTGGGACAGGCTCAATAAGGACCAGACACAGTATGTTCCTGGGAAGGTAAGGAGCTGTTACAACTGATAGCACTCTAGGAATCCTGCATCATCGAGAAACATGAGGCACTTTGGTATTGGAATGTTATCAAGATCTGTAGTGCCTCTCAGAGTGACAAGGCAGTTGATCTTGAAATGTGACAAAGAGGGAATTTCTTTTACATGATACTGTGTCTTCGATCTTCCTGTATAAACCAAACTGATATAGAAGTGAGGAAAGTGCTTTCTGTTTAAAAGAGAGGATGCTCATGGCCTCCTTCATTGGTTTTTCTTTTGCTATTCAAGTTTCTTTCTCCTATTTTTTTTTAAGATTTTATTTATTTATTTGACAGACAGAGATCGGAAGTAGGCAAAGAGGGAGGCAGAGACAGAGAGGGAAGCAAGGTCCCCGCTGAGCAGAGAGCCCCATGCGGGGCTTGATCCTAGGACCCTGGGATCATGCCCTGAGCCGAAGGCAGAGGCTTTAACCCACTGAGCCACCCATGCGCCCCTTCTCCCTCCTATTTAAAAAAAAAACATCTTAAACTGTAACATTCTTTCCCTTAGTGACTCAATATAAATAAAGTTTATTTATTATTTTCTTTTACTTTTTTACTTTCAGATTTATTTTAGAGGGAGAGAGAGTGTGTGCGCAGGGGGTGGGGAGGGGCAGAGAGAGAGGGAGAGAATCCAAGAAGACTCCCTGCTGAGTGTGGAGCCTGAGGCAGGGCTCTGCCTCACAACCGTGAGATCACAACCTCGAGATCACGACCTGAGCCTAGATTAGGAGTGGGACACGTAAACAACTGAGCCACCCAGGTGTCCCTATTTATTACTTTCTTTTGGTTTCTGGTCATTGGAGGTAAGGGTATCATGGAGAGCTGGGGAATAATGATTTAACAGTCTACTATCGAGGAAACTCATTTGTGTGGGATTTAGACAATGAAATATGAGAGTCACTCTGTCATCTTTTATTTTTCCCTGGCTTTAGGAACTCAGGCAGGACATGGAGGTGAATATATTAATCTTATTCACGTATAAGGGATCAAAATCTTCAGGTGGCAACTTAGATAGCCTGTTATATTAATGTACAACATGAGATGCTACCTAGAGACTCAAATGAGGGGGGCAGGGGACACGAGAACTCTGGAGAGGAGGTGGTAGATCTGGGAGACTGCTCATGAAACATGCAGATTTGGACGTATTCTTTCTCTTCTCTGCACATCCAGTTTGTAATTTTTGTTTTTAAGATTTTATTTATTTATTTGACAGACAGAGATCACAAGCAGGCAGAGAGAGAGGAGGAAGCAGGCTTCCCGCTAAGCAGAGAGCCCGATGTGGGGCTCGATCCCAGAATCCTGAGATCATGACCTGAGCTGAAGGCAGAGGCTTTAACCCACTGAGCCACCCAGGCGCCCCCAGTTTGTAATTTTTAAAATGATATTCTTTCACTCTTCATTAGAAAACTAATGTATGTGGAGTAATGACACTTGGTAGACCTTCAGTAACTGTTTGTTAAGAAATAAGAGTATCACCTACAAAATTCCTGGGCTGGTGTCTTAAACACACTGGGTGCTCAGTGAATCTATGGTGTGGGCGTCATCATTATCAATATCCTTATCATTACTACTGCTGAAGACCAACACTACTCTAGGCAGTTTCACCTGATGTGACATGCACACACAACTATGAGGCGCTTTTTTTTTTTTTTTTAAATCAAGTAAAGACAATACAGCAATTGGCTAACAGTCTTACAGCAAATATGCAGTGAGTTTGGGATTTTATTCTTTATAGTCTTACCACAAACCCCTTAATCTAACTAAAACATTTTGTATGTCCCACTGGAGTACAATGTTGTATGTTAAATATATAGGTCTATATATGTATATATATAATTGTGTGTGTGTGTGTGTGTGTGTGTGTGTGTGTGTGTGTGTGTGTATTTAGGAGAATAATGGCTGCTTTTAAGGTAGGTATGGGTTCATTCAATTCCTGCTGTCCCCAAACTAAGGCCTTTGCAATTATATTTAAATACCTAAATCCTGGGATGCCTGGGTGGTTCAGTGAGTTGATCGTTTGCCTTCTTCAAAGAAGCTCAGGTCCCAATTCCAGGGTCCTGGGATCAAGTTCTTCATTGGGGTCAGTGCTCAACAGAGAGCCTGCTTCTCCCTCTGCCTGCTGCTCCCCTGCTTGTGCTCTTTCTCTCTGACAAATAAATAAATCTTAAATTAAAACAAAGAAGAAGAAAAAAATAAATACAGAAATCCAGGTGAGGAAGTCCGAAGTATTTCTTCCATTTGGGCATAATTTATTCAGGATGCTCTTTGAGCATCTTTTTCAGGGTATTTTTTCTAAGAGTAGAAAATGAAACTCATTGCTCAGTCTTTCATCCTTCACAAATGCACATAAAAATATATTCAAAGAAAGATCCAAATTCTTCTAATACATGACTAGGTGGTCAGTCATGTGAGGGCATGGTTGTTGCTCGCACACTCTGACACATTGCGAGAGTGATTTCTACACAGAAAGCATGAAAACATATTTTGGTTTGCAATTATTATTTTTCTTAACTGTGACAAAACCTTCATTCTGATCTCCATTCTTTTTAGTTTTTAACTTAACAGTTTATGAATTGTAGGTTAATGCAGTGTCTAAAAAAAATGTTCTCATAATCCTTGAAGGAAGCAAGAATCTCTAATATTTTACCTCTTTTTTGCACACATTCTGTCCTTCCACTTCCCTCTCTCTGTCACTCCCTCTCGTACTCTCTCATTCTGTCTCTCTCACACACACACACACGCTCCTTCACCCTTCACTCTGTCTATATGTTCCAGCATGTGTGTTTGTGTGTGGATTTGTGTGATATATACTGTCTGAGTTGGAGGGAAAATGCTGCTTTCTTTCCAAATCAAAGAGAAAAATGCGTCGAGTCTGGAACAGCAACAAAAATAGCTAGCTTGACTCACAGTCTCTCTACTCTGAAATATAAATTCTATCCTGAAGGGAATTCTCTTCTCTGTCTAGTGCAGTCTACTCTCCATATATACACCCATAGTGAAATATGTGCAGATTCGAAAGTCTTCATAGGAACATGAGAGATCATTAATTTTGTATTATCTTGGTAAAAATGGGGGCAAGAAATTATTTATATTGTGGGCTCTGATTCAAGCTAGTTCACGTTCCAAAGGATTTGAGTTTCAGCAAATGCTTACGAAGCCTCTGTTTTAAGAATTCCACATTACTGGGCACCTGGGTAGGTCAGTGGGTTAAGTCTCTGCCTTCGGCTCAGGTCATGATCTCAGGGTCCTGGGATCAAGCCCTGCATCGGGATCTCTGCTCAGCAGGGAGCCTGCTTCCCCCTCTCTCTCTGCCTACCTCTCTGCCTACCTGTGATCTCTCTCTCTGTCAAATAGATAAATAAAATCTTTAAAAAAAAAAAAAAGAATTCCACATTACCCCCATTTACTTCTTTATGAGTTTTTCAGTTCCAACAGTAATATATGGCATTGGGTAGTCTTGTTCTAAGAAGATGATGAAATTATTTCTTTATGGTGGTGCTTAAAGTAATTGTGTTTGATTTCAGTGGGTTTTATAAATGTAGTAAAAAAAGGTGTCTGAAATGGCACATCATTCTAACGACAGAGGTAGAGGTTTATATGTAAGAGAACTGATGTTGACTATGTAAATATGTATTACAATGATCTTTGGGGATGCCTCAATGTTTGTATGAGATTTTCACATGTTGTGCAATAGCGTTGTACATCTTTTCGATCCCACTGGTTCTCCATGATAGTACAGTCATGTGAATAAAGCAGGTAAGTATAGTAGGCTCGGAGATTTATGATTTGCCTCAAGTCTGTCTGTTCCAGCTCTTATTATTTATAAGCCCCCCAGAAGCAGCTTCCCTCTGCCAAATGTACTTTCCGTGTGCTTTCCACCAAATCTAGGATAATGCTTGGATCAGAAATGAGGGGCAAGGGAACAGACACAAATGGAAAGTTGAAGCTAACTTGCTGTTGGTGGCTGGTCAGCACATATTCATTTACTAAAGAGAGAGGAGAACATCTTTACCGTGAGACTACATGTGTAATGGGGCACCTGGGGCCTCAGTGGGTTAAAGCCTCTGCCTTTGGCTCAGGTCATGATCCCAGGGTCTTGGGATCAAGCCCCGCATCGGGCTCTCTGCTCAGTGGGGAGCCTTCTTCCCTCCTCTCTCTCTGCCTGCCTCTCTGCCTACTTGTGATCTCTGTCAAATAAATAAATAAAATATTTTTTAAAAAAAGAATACATGTGTAAGAGGGTTCTTTTTCTATGATCAACATCTCTTAGTCCTTGCTTCTTCTTTCATTGCCTGAACAACTGTGTACAGAGAAATGAGCTAGACCCAAGCAAGCAGGGGCCGTTTCCCTGACAGTGGATTCAAGCACACTTAGACCTAGTTTTGAAAGTTCTTCGAAAATTCTCATAAAAGCAAAATGTCTAGGATTCTTAGTCAGTCTAAAGCCCTGAAGTAGGTGGGTGCCTTGGGTAATGAATGGAGACCACCAGGAAGTTGTCATTGAGACCCTGAAGTCTTTTAAGATAACGTGGGAGCTAGGAGAGCAGCAATTTTCGTTTCTTAAGGGATTTGTGAAATTGCGTGCCTGGAAATTTATGCTTATTTAATTCTTGTTCAACAGCTTTCACAAAGTATATAATTTTAATGACTGCGCTTAGCTGTATTATATTAATTTTAAAGAAAAAAAGTATAATTAACATGAAAACTATACTGTATCCTGTATTTCTTAATTTGCCATCCTAAAAAAATGTGGCTATTCTGATCATGACACCCTACCATTTGGTGGTAAGATACCATAATTACTGGAAATCATTGGATGAAAACAGAGAGATTCATGACTTTATCCTTACTGACACTAACTAAAAATGGATTGCATATTAAAAAATTAAAAAGCATGCTTAGATGTATTCCCAGTTTTGGTATTTCCTGGACATCCTTTGAATGCAAGGAGGTTTGGGGAATTTCTCAGTCTAATTTTCTATAAAATTAGAATCTTCATAATTGTCTTACATTACTCAGAAGGTTGTAAAGTTATAAAAAGAAGTTAAAGCATTATGAACAGGGGCGCCTGGGTGGCTCAGTGGGTTGGGGCCTCTGCCTTCGGCTCAGGTCATGGTCCCAGGGTCCTGGGATTAAGCCCCATATTGGGCTCTCTCCTCGGCGGGAGCCTGCTTCCTCCTCTCTCTCTCTCTCTCTGCCTGCCTCTCTGCCTAGTTGTGATCTCTGTCAAATAAATAAATAGAATTTAAAAAAAAAAGCATTATGAACACATTATATTAGTGGTTTTTCTTTTTTTTAAGATCAGAGATGTTGATCTGGTGTGATAGTACTGGCTCCTGTAATTTGTGCATCAGTAGAACTTGGGGAACTGGTTAAAATAGTTTCACAGCTTCACCTTCAGAGTCTATGATTCAGTACATTTGGAATGAAGCTGAAAATTTACATGTCTAACAAGTTCTGCGGGAGGCTAAAGCTGCTGGTCTGGAGACCACACTTTGAAAACCACTTGCTCCGTGGGTGACTCTAATGCCAGATTTCTCGGCTTGGTGTCCCCGGTAGCGTGCCGGGAGATTCTGAAAACAAAATAAGAGAAGTATGACACATCTTTCCGAGGTACCACCAGAACATTTGCAAAGCTATTTCGTATCCTAAAGAAACAACGTTGATATATTAGGGAATGAACCACAGAAACAGCATGACATAGTCTGAGAAAAACACCAAGCCTCCGAGTTGTTCCAAGTTTATAATTGCCTGCTTCTACCTGTGAAAGCTGTCACCTAATATGACTGCCCAACTTCCTGGAGATTTTTCAAACATGTCCACCCAGACATCGTAAAATTAGGGGTTTCCACAGGGGAAGTGCTGTGTCTTATTTAACTAACCTTGAATCCCTAGGTTCTAGCGTCACGTCTGGCAAAAACAGAGGCTCCCACAATCTGTGTGGTCTTAGGCAAGATTTCTTGCAACCTGTCTTGTGTCTAGTTGCCCCATAAGGAAAATAAGAACAACGGGGAGATAATATTTTAAGTTGGGCCTGTAATATTGGTTCAAGACAATATTTGATATTTATTTATTTACTTAATATTATGTATTTTTTATTTACCAAATATATAATAAATCTACTGAGAACTTACTGTGTACCACCCAAGCATTTAATTACCATAAATAGGCAAGTTGATGTAAGCCATTCCATACGAAATTCTTTGGGGGACCTGAGAATTTCACGCATACCAGTTTATAGTTCACTTCTTAATTAACTGTGTGTCTCACAGTTCAGAAAACACTGCTACAGAGGTTTTTATTCCCTTCAGAGGCAATGCCCGCCTGGGGGATATGCCAGCCAATAAAGGTAGGGTGAGGCATCCAGCCTACTTCAGGATTCTTTGTGGAAATTAAAGAGTCTAGTGGATGTTTAGGATTGTCTAAATAACTAATCTTTTGGTATTTAGATAGCAGCACTGTATTCATTATTGATTTCCATTAATAAAAGCACACATTCATACAAGCTACACTCTAATTAGAGAATTAGAAGTGCCTAATGCCTTAGTCCTACCGAAAAATTACAATATATAGGTTTAAATATTTACAAAAGTAAAGGGTAAGCTGTTATCTTTGGCAGTTCTGCGGGCTCTCCTGGAGGCTGTTCACGGGGTTTGACCCCCTCTCGGCCCTACATTGTACTCACTGCTCCTTAGAATGCAGGTGCTAATTAACTTTTTAACACTTTTTGCCCAGTACTAAAAGCCCAGCCTTCTTACATCTGTGCCTTCTAAGGGGTCTCTTTGAGTTACCTACTAAAAAGAGGAGCGCTTCCCACGGGGAGTAGGTATTACTTTTGTAATCAAAAACTTGAAATAACATATAACTTTCAAAAGGGCATAAGCCCCTCTTCCTCTTCCCAATTCACAAACAGCTCTTTTCAGTGGGCTCGTGTGTGGTGAGGTGGATTCCTTGTTCTCTCCTCTCATTCTGAGTTGGTTTCCAAGAGGTAGGACCTAAGCCTCTCTCTGCATCTTAAACACTACTTCTCTGGGGATTCTGGCTCTGATGAAGGAATCATTCACCCAGAGCAGGATTCTTCTCAAACTGGACACCTTGCTCTGTTTTCTGACATACTGTGCTTTGTTTGATAGTTTCAAAATATGTCCAGTGAGTGTCTCTCCACATTCTGATTCTCAAATAGCAGCTAAGTTCTGGATTTTTTTTTTAATTTATTTATTTGATAGAGAGAGAGAGAGAGATCACAAGTAGGTAGAGAGGCAGGCAGAGAGAGGGAGAAGCAGGCTCCCTGTTGAGCAGAGAGCCCGATGCGGGGCTCAATCCCAGGACCCTGAGATCATGACCTGAGCTGAAGGCGGAGGCTTAACCCACTGAGCCACCCAGGTGCCCCCTGGATTTTTTTTTTAAGTCCTATAGGAATAATATAGTACATATCACATAGTGCATAGTATATAGTATGGTACATATTCCACAGTACCTAGGGCATGAATCACTGGAGAGTGCATGGTTCCTGCCATCTGCTGCTAGTCAGAGTCCGCTTAGGATTGTTAAGTCCCACATCTGTTGGTTATGGGAACCCATGACAGTGATCTAAACATTTTAGTTTTGTTCTTTTCTTTTCATTTCCCTTTTTCTTCTCTTTTTTCCTTTCCTTTCCTTTCTTCTTTTCTTTCTTTTTTGAAACAGTATTTTCCTTTGGTTGTTTTCATTTTGTATAGCCGATTTTATCTTCATCTTTTTCTTTTTTTCTATTTTAAGGTTTGCTATTATAACTACTACCAATGATATTCTAAATGTTTTTATTTATCATTCATTCATCTGTGTATTTATTTTTGAGTGAGAGAGCAAGCGAAGGGGGAGAAGCAGAGGGAGAGGGAGAGAAAATCTTAAGCAGGCTCCATGTCCACTGTGGAGCCCAACACAGAGCTCGATCTCAGGACCCTGAGATCATGACTTGAGTCAAAATCATGAGTTGGACACCCAACCAACTGAGCCACCCAGGCCCTCCTCTAAATGTTTTTTAAATAGGTATTCATTTGTTCTGTCAGCATGTAGCCAAAAAAAAAAAAAAAAAAAAAAAAAAAGCTTATGTTTTGGATTCTTTCTCTAAGATAACTTGAAAGAGGTAGCATTACTAAGTCAAATGTTTGACTACATCTATATATCTAATCTACATTTATGTATCTACTTACCAATTAGCGATCTCCCTACTTATCTCTGTATTAATCATTTGTTCCCCTTACTATACTAACTACAGGGGTAGTTGCTATTTTAATTATGCAACAAATGTCCATATGGAAAACATCTGTAATTGAGCAGATGAATGAATTGAAAACAAACATTTATTGGGTCCCTATTTATTCTTATCCTTTCTCAGGAAGCTAGAAGTCATTTAAATATAAGTTTTAGGGTTTATGTGAAACCTAAATGAGATAATCCAATCAAATAAATACTTGGGCCAGAAATATAGTGGTTTCTTTATATTTGATGGTAATGGTCAGTATCTAACTAAAAGAAAAGACGAATATTTGGAAGTAAGAAAGGGCTAATGACAACGAATGGGAAATACAGAAGTTAAAATGATGTGGAATTCTCTAGAAATTCATGGATTTTCCCCTTTATGCTTTTCCTTTGAAGGAATGTCATGATGAAGATTGTATTTAATGACCATCCAGATTCCTAATTATTTTCCTGGGGAATCTGGAGAGCCACTATAGGTAGCTGCACGTTCTATATGAAATAGTGTTTTGAAAGCATAACAAATAGCATGGAGGACATGGGGAGTTAGGAGAAGGGAGTTGGGGGAAATTGGAAGGGGAGGTGAACAATGAGAGACTATGGACTCTGAAAAACAATCTGAAGGGTTTGAAGAGGTGAGGGGGTGGGAGGTTGGGGGAACCAGGTGGTGGGTATTAGAGAGGGCACAGATTGCGTGGAGCACTGGGTGTGGTACAAAAACAATGAATACTGTTACGCTGAAAATAAATTAAAAAAAATGATAAAAAAAAAAAAGAAAATATTTCTCTGGAGAATTTAAAAACAAGGAAAGCTCAGATTCCACTGTTTTTAGACATATCCCGGTGCTCCTCCTTTCACATATTTGTACTCAAACATGTACAAAATCCTTGCTGCCACATTTTTCTTTCTGCCTAGAGAACAGCGGTAAAGATATTAATTGTGCTTCAGTTATAAATGGATTGCCAAAAGGGACAGAACGGGTTGTGTATCTCATCAGCATGCCCTGTCTGGTATAAATAATGAGACAGGAACTTGGTAAATTGGAAATTTGTGATAAAAACGAGATGTGATATTATAAAGTCCCACCAGTTCCTTCTTTGAACACATTGATTTTTAAGGCATTCTGCAGGACTGCTAAATCAATGATTGCCTGTCACAAAATGTTGGTTAAAGGGGCTCTATTACTGGGGTCAACTACAAATTAGCCCAAAGGGTAAACAAAAAGGTAGTATAAATGTTAAAAAGAAAAAAAAAATGTCACAGAGATTGTAAAATAGAGTTGGAAAGGCACAGCTGTAAGAAAGTGTATACAGTTATTTCTCCCATTCTACCTAAGATTCTTAACTATGCTAAGTAGGAAGCATTGAAGAGTGGAAATATAACTGAATTGAATGAGGTACTTTATCACTTCAGTTATTTTTGAAACAGAGTTGGGATTTTCTTCTATGTTTCTTCAAATTCTCTGTGTCTTTCAAATCTGCTGATTTTCACATTTATCTTTTGTGAGCACCTCACAAAGCTACTATTTCCCAGCACGATATCATGATTAAAATTTAAACAAGCCTAAGAAAAAATATTGATATTTCCAAATGTCTTATACAAATAAATTGATGCAATTTGACTTGTTTCTTAAATAAAACCCAATTTTGGAAGAGGTCTTAATTTAATGTGATAAAAATCTGGGAATAGAATTAAAAAAAAATCACCTAACTTAAGGTCAGTATTCTGAAATCACAAAATACACTTGTCGTCGAGCTACCTGTCATGTCATGTCATTAGGGGAGGTTGCATTTCCATACCTCCAGTCTGCCTTACACCTTTCCCTAGGAGCCAGTCTCCTCTGCACACACACTACTTCTTGACCTAAATTATAGCCTGTGCAGTGAAGTTTCTTTCTGTGACTCTCCTCATTAGGCTGTGAGCCCTCCTCAAAGACCATGGAAAACCTGTATTCATTTTTGAAATCTCAGGGCCAAGCATGGTTTGATGGTGTCCAACAACCAATAAACATCAACAGAGTAAGGAAAAGGAACTAAGGAAGGAAGAATAAAGAGAGAGAAGGATACAAACAAAAAGATAGAGAATAATACGGAAAATTAATTCAGTTTCCTCCTACTGTTTTGTTGGACTATTTAAAATTATGGTCTATGTCAGATTCAGCATTACATCTTCAGGGCTAGAAGCATAGAAGCATAATCAGTTTTTCTCTGTCTCACCCTCTCTCCCTCTTTGTTCCTCTTTCCACCCTCTCAGTTTGAAAAACACTCAAGATGTTTGTAGATCCTTAATCATTTTTTTGTAAACTCAATGCCTAGTCTTTCACATATTCTTTTATTTTTGCCAAGACTTTAATTAAGGCAGGTAGAATTTTCGATACATTTTTCCCCCAGCTCTCTCTGGGCATGCATATATCAAGGTCTCACTACATTCTTCTAGTATTTGTGTTTCCATGCTACAGTCTGCTTATTTCATGTGACCACATTTAACTTCTTCATGTACAACTGTAGAAATCTATTTTTTTCTCACACATCTTTTAATATGACCTGGAGGAAAGAAAACAGGCTCTTAACTACCATCCAGGAGTTCCTTCATCCAGGAATGAGCTGATAGCACCAGATCTACAAAGAATAGGGTTAGGAATTGACCTGGGTTGACTTGATTTCAAGTCTGATGATTAATTTTCTTTAAGGCGAAGTCTTCTTGCCAAGGCTGGTTATTTGTAAGGTTCATATGTGTGTGAATTTCTTACTTGTATGGTTAGGTTTCCGATCTATGGCTAACCTTGACTATTTCTGTTAAGGTGGTGGAATTTCATTGTTGAGCTGTCTGCGTTTAAGGAAAGAAAAAAAGTGAGTTAGAATAGTATCTCTTCACTTACTGACTCTATGCCTTAATACATGTGTTTAGCTTTGTTGAGTGCCGTTCCCCACACTTTTGAGTGTCTTGGAGTCAACAGTATCAGCATAAGTATATCTGGAGTGTAAAAATGAGTGAGGGACGGTAAAGGGCGCTGCGTAGAAAGCATGTAGCTCCTAGTTGCAGATAATTTAAAGTCTCACTGTCCTTGTCCCAACTGGAATATGAAAATAGGACCAGTGATAGCTTATTTATTTATTTATTTATTTATTTGTCTAACTCTGTTAGATTGAAAGTTGATGTGTTTATAAGAAGTAAAATTTAATTTAAAATATACTACTACCAGAATATAGGTATGCCTCCCCCCCTTTTTTAATACAGTAAAAGAAGTGATGGTTTTGGGTCACGTAGAACTGGACCTGAATGTCCACTTCTTAAATTAAGAAATGGTGATATTCTGTGTCTTAGTCATTCAGGGCTGTTATAACAAATTATCACAGACCGGGTAATAACTAGCGCTTATTTCTCATAGTTCTGTAGGCTGGGAAGTCCAAGATCATGGTGCCAGCAGATGCAGTATCTGGTGAGAACCTACTTCCTAGTTTGCAAGAGGCTGCCTTCTTGCCATGTCTTCACAAAGTGGAAAACAGAGGCGGGGGGGGGGGGGGTTGAGAGAGAGGAGCAGGCTATTTTGTCTCTTATGAGGACACTAATCCCATTATGAAGGGCCACCATCATGACCTGATTACTTCCCAAAAGTCCCATCTCCTAATACTATGCCACTGGGGGTTAGGATTTCTACATATAAATTTGGGAGGAACACAAAAATGAAGTACATAATACCCTGTTGGTGATTTTTTTCTCCCATAGGTATTAAAGAACTTCTCTATTTAATGGTAGTGGAACAACAAGCAAGAGTGGCTCAGGTTCAAGAAATGCTTTCTTTAGTCATTTTCTTAGAGTAGAATTTCCTTAAACACATTCTGGCAAGATAGGCAGAGAGCCCTTGTTCTTTGTGAATCATAGGGAAATCCAGAAAGATTTACTCATAAGAGAGAAAGGTCTACCAGACTTCCAGCTCCATCAGCATGAAAGGAGAGGTTAGCTTTCCTCCACCTTCTTCCATCCTCTCCCCTCATCCATCTCTCCAACCCTGGCCATTGCTGCTGCTTTTTACTGTCAGATGATTTTGTTGATTCATGCTTGAATTGAATCTCCTAGTCAGTTCTTTGCCAGAACTATGCTTGCCCTGCCCAGAATGTAGCTTTGGGGCTACTCATTCCCTCCATGATGATCTAGACTTCGATGCCCGATTTTGAGACCTGAACTCTTAGAGATTTGCTTTCATGGTTGTGATTGCAGCCTTCCTCGATGATGGATTGTTAAACCCAAAGAGGCTTCACTTTGTCACCCATAGAATGTTGCATCATTGCCCTTCCTCCTTTTCCCTGGTAAAAACACTTTCCACCTTCTTGCCCCTCAAATGAAGTCTTCAGGCCATCGGTACTCCTACAGGAAATTTTCTTGAGCTCATATAAGGGTTTGATGTCATACTAACTTTTGTTTATAGCCACAGGAGTGTGCCCATCTTTGGGAAGAAAAGAGCCTGACTTCCCTCCTAAGAGGAGGAAAAATCCCTACTGTTTCTTTTCTAATAAATTTAAAATATGAAAATAAGACAAAACAATGAAAGCAACAAATCATTCAAAATATCAGCAGATCAACCTACTCTTAATCTTTGAATGTGTCTTCCTAAAGAAAATAACCATGCATTCAATTAGTCATTTATCTATTTGACAAATATTTATATCACTTTCTGAGATGCTGGAGAGAAAAATAAAAACATTAGGCTGTGTTCTTTGCAGTTGAAGATCTAAAATTCAGAAACAGTGAAACAGTTATGAAGACTGGGAACCTCCATCACTGGTTTTAAATACAGGTTTTATCCCTTTCTGTTTGAATGGAGATCATTTTTACAGATGCTCAAAGGCTTGTTGCAAAGATTAAAAGAATAAATATTTTATACCAGGCATTGTTCTTAGTGCTTGTACCATTAGGGAATGTAGAGGTATGCCTATGCTATGAACTAAGGATGAGGCCACATTACAGAGGAATGAGTTAATTCTGGAGAGGAGGATTAGATGGGAAAGTTGAGAGAATAAGAACGAATATCGTTTTCAAGCAGCTTTCACTCTGCAAGGGAAATATCTGTACCCACTGTACTTTATATATGAAGGGAAGTAATGCCCCCAGAGAAGTCAAACGAAGTATTTGTAGAGTGCAGAAGTGGTAACAATTCAGCTTGGGGACAACTAATTCTTGAACCTGAGTGTGAGTAAGTTAGGTAGATATGTTGGGGAGTCATAGGAATGCACTTACTTGAGTTTGGGGGAGAAAAAAAAAAAAAACCTTTGGGACGATTAGAAGCCTTTGGTGTAAAAGAATGTGTAAACCCTATTCTAACATTCTGTTTTCCTGAGATAAGCTCTGAACTTATCAACCTCTTTCATGGGGGTTTCTTGATCTGCAGCCCTACCTCTGAACTTTGACTCAGCATCATCCTTGTTCTTAAATGTAATCTTAATATTTATGCCCCCTCCTCCCAGGAACCTTGCTTTCTCTATGTAGCTGTCCTCCCATGTTACTCACCACCATTCTTTCCCCACAGCACTGTATCACATCATTTGTCACTCATCCCATCATTTTCTGGCCTCCCACTGGTCTGCCCTTCAAAAAAGCAAAAATCTTCTAACTGTAAAGTCTCTTGGGTGCCTAAAAGAAGGCTTGGCACATAGTAGAATCTCAGTAAAAATATACTGTGATAACCAAGGGCCCAAATAGGCAATAAACCCAACTGTCTTCCATTTTAACTACAGACTTCATGGATGGTGGCACATATAGAATGATATATTTTGGGTAACTTAGTGAATACCTTTTTAAAACTATTCCTGAAACCAAAGGTCTCTAATGATTGCCCAGTTAAGCCTGTTTTTGTCTAAGACTTTGTCTTCTCAATAGCTCAATTCATTTGGCCAGATATGACATTTGATAAGAGAGTTAAGCATTTTGTCTTTCAGTTGGGGGGGGGGGAAGTAACCATGTGAGGTGATGGATGTCTTGATTAATTTCATTGCAGTAACCATTTCACAATGTCTGCATATATCAAACCATCACGTTGTGGACCAATTTAAATATGTTATAATTTTTTTGTCAGTTACATGTCAGCAAACGTGGAGGGGGGTGGAAAGGAAGGGATTGTAGTCACAACCACACTACTGCCATTTTTAAGTGTCTTGGCTTTTAACTAGAGCATTCAGCTCCTTCTACAAGAATAAAAAATGAGCAGCCACTGGAGTGATTATAATTTTATTCTCATGCCTCTTAAACTCAAATTCGTCCTTCACCAAACATACATAAAGTAGTGTGCCATAGAGAGCCAGAGGTGCAGCTCAACACAGTGTCCTCCCCCACCCAGGGACTACTGACCATCATCCACATGGAGCAGACTCAGAATATGAAATGGGCAGTATTCCCTTTCTTATATTAGGAAACCAAGTCTCATAGGTGTTGAGGAAAAAAAAAAATCCTTGGAGTGTAAGAGTGACATGTCATTAATGTAGAGTATCTCAGTCTGATAATAAAAGGATGTGAACAACACTTCTGACATTATGAGTGTAGCATATACCTGTTTCCACGACATCATGCGATGACTTCTGGAAATTCACAAAGGTTTACAGTTTCCTGCAGTACAATGAGACCATGTGAAAATGTGCTAAAATGAACTTCAGACACTCTTGGGACAGAAACTCTGACTGCTGCTCTTTCTTGTGCCCTCCAAGTCTAACTTGGAGCTCAGCCCATAGAACCTACTATGCTAATAGTCTTTGTGTGAGTGAATGAATGAGTTCATGTAATAAAATACAATGAAGGAAGCTTCCACCTACCACAGTTATGACGCTTTGTAGAAGACATCCGCGGAATCCCTGGTAGCTTAATTTTGCAAGGTCAGGATGGAAATAGCTGCTGGTCTAAAGCATAATGATACCAGTTTACTTCTTAGGTATTTATAGGATTTCATTCCATAGGTAACGGATTAGCAAAGGCTTGATCGCTGGGAATAGGCAGCTTAAGAAAAAAAAATATATACTTGTCTGGGTCCCATTGTGTTATAAGAGTCATTCTGATTCTGAAAAGGTTTATTTATGCACACAGAACTGTAAAACAGACAGCTTATTAGTTTTCACAACCAGACTTCCAATCGTCCTCATTATCTGTTTGCAAAAGCAGTGGGTAGGCCACCATCCTGCTCCTGTTTGTGAGAAATGCAGAAGGTACTTTTCTCCCGTGCATAGTAAACATGGCTGAGATTTTACAGTTACACATTTTCATACAATATTTTTCACTTCTCTCACCCGACGTGTGTTACAGATGTTCAGTGGAATGATGCAGGGGTGAATGGAAGACATCTGTGTGCTCGCACGCATTTTCTGAAGTGTTTAATTGTTCCAGAAAGTTTCGGGCTCATTTTATAAACACAATGTTAAGTGTGTATGGATGTTTCATTAAGTTACAAAACTGTTTATACCTCTAACTGCTCCAGAATAAAATATGGAAATGGAATTTTATTTCCCCAGTTTATGTCCCGAATCATAGAGCCAGAGAAATGACAGGATGCATTTCAGTGTTGTCCGTCCGCCTGACTGCAGTTAAGAATCTGTCCCTGTTCCCATAATAAATTCAATTTGGAGCATGTAGAATTTGGCAGCAACATTTTACTACAGGCTGAGAGCTGGCACATGAGAAGAACACCCAGTGAGCAATGGTTAGGCCTTTGCAAAAGATGATGGAGGGGGAAGAGATTGTTTAGGATTTCATTGTGTGGTATATGTCTTAAAGACTGGTTTGTGAAACGAAATGGCAAACCCAGGCTGCCTTTGCCTCCTGCTAATTGGTTTCTATAAATTGCAGGATTGGGCACCAAAAAAGAGAAGGGTTTCCTCTTCTGTTGTCACCCTGCCCATAGCTTCCCTAGTTAACCAATAGTGGTTCAGAGCAGCAGTTCTTAGAAGGAAGTAAAATGCTGTCTTCCTGCTTACAGATGGTATATCTCACTGTTTCCCTCAGAGGTTGGTTGACAAAGTATTCTCCATATATAGGGTTAAAAAACTCAAGCCATACATTCTACTGATCCATGGTTAACCCTCCTCACCCTCCAAAGATCCCCTAAGGCGTCCCTTGGAGGTTTGGATACTTGACCTGGGTCTTCTATAATGAAACAGCAAAGCTGAACAACGAAAATACCAGTAGGAGTTAGGCCATCTTTGCACTGGGAGGATTTGCCTGAGGCCCTTCAGGAGAGAGTAGGGTGGATGGTCCATTGGGGAGATGTCAGGAAAACTGTACTGGCTGCCTGCAATGATTCTGAGCTTTTCTGTAAGCATGTCAGGTCTGTGTTCTGTTGTTACTTGGAGGGGAGCGGTGTCAAGGGACAAACGAAAAAAAAAACCTCTAGAAGTTGCATGCCAGTCATGTAGAGAGGCATCCCAGGACATGTTTCCATAAAAGTAAAAAATAATGGATTTGGCATGACACACTTAAAACATCCAGGGCCAGATGCTTCAGCTTCTAGTAAGTGATAATTTAAACGTCAACAAGTTATGCGGGCCTTAAGAAATTATTGCTCGGCTAGTCAACAACCAAAAAGGTTGTCATGACAACACCTGTGTCCGTCCCCACTACCTCCTGCGTTGCCTAGGACTTGGGAGAATGAGCCAGGAGGATGAGGGAAGGTGGGCTGAGGGTTTAGTTTTATTAAAATAACGAATGCATGCTGCATCATTGCTGTGACCCCTTGGGCCTATGATCTTTGGAATGTGTGAATGTTTTAGACATTTTGGGATGATAATGCCAGATACTCTGTCCACGGATGGTACACACTGAACTTGGATCAGGGTAGCCAGAAGGTCAAATCAAAAGTTGGAAGATGGTAGCAAGAGGCCAACAACATAGGCTTTCTGAATTTCACTGATTGCAAAGGTTCTGCTGCTTTATTTTCCCACCTGCTAACAGAATGCTTATTCTCTGAGAATGTATTGCAAATGACTCTTTGCAAATGGGGTTTGTGTTCTTCTTATCATAAGAGTTTCAGCTTTTCCAGTGTGCACATTTTCACGCTGCACCAAACCTTTGTTTTCCTGCTCAGGGTGTCAGCACCAGCATTTTTCTTTCTGAATAATGTGCAGAATTGGTGTGCTGACTTGCTCATAAAAAAGTATAGTCTAGCTAACAGAGCTGCACTACCCAAGCCCAACGTCTTATTTTCCCTAAGGCCTTTCATCTTAGTTTGTCAGCAAACTGGAACCTCTAACCTGACAGTGTAAAATTTTTGATGGTTAATATTGCTTATAGTGTTTGCTGTCATTATAGGGGGAAGATGTGTGGGTCCTGCTGCTAATGGGAGGGAACCTTCATGTGTGGCAGGAGGCAAATGATACCACAAGCTCTCTGTTAATTAAAATCCAAGCACACATTGGCAAATCTCACTTAACCAAGAAACTAAACACAGAATAATGGGCTTATTAAAAGCAGAATTCACCTTGGAATTGACGTATTCCTACTTGAATTGATACTAGCAGGATGCATTGTGGTGACAGGGATCATTTTTGTTGACAACAGCTGGAAATACAACAGCTATATTATTATAATTAGGATCAGCATCAAGTTGGATCATAATAGGGGCTTTCTTGGAGAAATGGCACAGTGTCAAATTTATAGTCACCAGCTAAATGAGTCTCTTGTATCCTTGACAAAGGGACAAAAACAGTTCCAAATGAAAACACAAACAGAGAATCCTGTTGTTATATTTCCTGGGTATTACGCAGGGCCCTATTTATCACACACCAACACTTGCTGCTTTGAAGAAACATTATCCTGCCAGGTTTACACTTTTCAATTTGCCTCTGTGGTCTGCATTCTGCATGCATTTCCATGGAGAAGCCTACACCGCAGCTTGACTAGAAATCTTTTCTGCTGCAAGATTAACCTCAAAGTATCCATTTTTTCCCCCTCTGGGTAATCACTTGACAAATGCATCCACAAACCCTCTGTACACATCTATTCCAGGGTACAGGTGCATCAACAGCCTTGAATCACTATTAGGAGAAATATTGTCCTTGATGGGAAGTAGTACTGCCTTTTCATTTCCAGACGTCTCAAGTTGAAGGATGCGGATTTCCCGGGAAGCCAAGCATCAGGCAGAAAGATCATGGATGAGGTTGTGGGTGAAAGCTTGCCTTCGCTGTGCTGCATTGCCCGGCAGAGTAGTTCATCTTGGCAGGAGTGTGGGATTTGCATGGGCTGAGAGATACGGCATTCATTAGAATGCCACCTACCCAAATAACATCGAGGAACTTGTGCTGGTGACAGGTCCAGTGCCTGGCCTTGTGCTTGCTACATCAAAACCCATTTTATTTTTGAGCCCACAGCAAATTTATACCACAGAGGAAACTGACATGAGATGAACTAGATGGGAGAAAGTGAGATTCTGTGTGTGCGTGTGTGTGTGTGTGTGTATTTTCTAATACACATAATGTGCATATAAATACAGGGACAGTAAGCTCCCAGAAGTATCAAATGTCAATGAATCTTCATTAATTTTTCTATAACTTATTATATTTAATTATCTCAACAAGCCTAGGAGTTAGCAGTTACTGTCACTTTCCTTTTTACAGAATAGAAAACCAAAGCTTAGAAAAGTATTATTACTTTGGCCAAGGACACAGGACTCATGGAAGTTGAAGATGGATATAAAACAAGTGCCCTAGGGTTGCCTGGGTGGCTCAGTCAGTCGAGCGTCTGACTCTCGATTTCAGCCCGGGTCGGCTCAGGTTGTGATCAGGGTTCTGGGTAGAATCGGGCCCCACATTGGGCTCTGGGCTCTGTGCTCTGTGCAGTATCTTCTTGTCCCTCTCACTCTGCTACCCTGCCCCGATAAATAAATAAATAAAATTTAAAAAAAATAATACAAGTGTCCTGGTTAAAGACAATATGACTCCAAACATATCTTCTTAGTCATTTGTCTCTACTTAATATTATCTCATTTGATTCTTACACGGAACTTTGAGGTGTGCAAAATAAAAAATGATTGTCTTTGCATATGTTAAAAAGAAAAAGCTGAATCACAGAGCCTGGAAATGATGGAAACCTGGCCCATGACTCCTGCCTCAGTGTTTTATAATGTGGTAGGACAATAACATCAAGTTACGGTAATCAGTGACCATAGGATCATCATCAGTCTTGTAAGCTTCCCAGGAAATAACCCCAACTTCCATTTAAGGCAAAGTAATCCCCATGAGCATTTACGCAATTTGAATAGTTGAAAGAAAAAATGCTTCATATATAAACAAATCTGACAAACTCTTCAAAGTAATTAATGTTTCTGGGGGCGGGGGGGAGAGTGAAGTTAAAAGTTAACAGTGTGGGGCGCCTGGGTGGCTCAGTGGTTAAAGCCTCTGCCTTTGGCTCAGGTCATGATCTCAGGGTCCTGGGATCGAGTCCCGCATCGGGCTCTCTGCTCAGCAGGGAGCCTGCCTCCTCCTCCTGTCTCTCTCTGCCTGCCTCTCTGCCTACTTGTGATCTGTCTGTCAAATAAATTAAAAAAAAAAAAAAAAAAAGTTAACAGTGTCCAGGACCCGCTACGGT